CAAATCTTTAAGTTTAAATAGCTTTATAGAATACCTATAAATTTTTTGTTTTGGTATGCCTATATGATATATTTTATATATCTTTATTAATATATGTAAATAATTAAGCAAATAGGTACTAAAAAATAAATATAAAATAAATGTTTGGAACCTTAATATTAGTCTTGACTACCTTGAGCCACGATCAGAAATACATTTTATTCATATACTATACATATTAGGTAGTATTTAGTTTTAATATTTATAAATATTATTATAATTAGTATTTTATAATAGTATTATATTCTCTTTAAAATAAATACAATTTTAAAATGCATTACTCACTTATAAAAATATCAATATCAATAACAAATCAAAATACGATCTACTTACATAATCCTAATAATATTCTTAACTTTAAGTTTATGTTAATATGTAAATCCTGTTTAATATTAATATTTTTTGTGTTATTAGGAGTTTTTTTGAAATTTTAAAATATTTGTTTTTTGTGGTAATTTTAATAAATGATAAACAGCAACAATATGTTCTACACATAAACTTTTAACTTTGTACCATTGATTCATTAATTCATAATATAGACAACATTACATTGGTTTAAACCTTGAAAATGTTAATTGCGTTTTAATTGGTTATCACGGAAATAATCTATGATCGTTTAACTTTATTTTCGACAGAAAACAAATTTATTGGAAAATGTTATTAGTTATTATTTATTGGTTTTTTTTTCATTTTATTTTTTATCAGTTATATACATCAGCCCATGACGGGAGGCGTGATATTTACTCAATACATGAAATGTAAATTATTAAAAGAGTTTATATACTTTATAGGATGTTAAAACTAAATCCCTAGAGCAAGATCGAAACTTCAATTTATAAACATGAATATTATAATGTGGTCTTATATGCAATGAGAAGAAGACAGAGAGAAAAGGGTAACGCAATAACTATACGGTTTTGGTATTCATGTGGGCAGCGAAAATATTAAAGCTTTTCAACGGTTAAAAAAAATATGGCATAAATGGCATTTATAATAATATACCTAATAGATTAGTTTCTCGTTCCGATTCTATCATTCCTGATGCACAAGCTAGCCGGTGTATCAATTTATTAGTTTCATGCTAGCTCATTTAAAAATGCTTAAGGAGGTTAGTGACCAGATTTTAAACTCTGGTTTATTCATATAGTATATATATAGTTTGTAAAGTGTACCTTAAACACTCACACACACACACAGACGCACATGCTTGTGGAGGTAAAAATAAATAAACATCCTAGAACTATTTATATGAAAACTAAGAGCTCAAGTAGAATATAACTTATCACATTCTAATTTAACAAACCTAAATCAATCTACAGAATATAACACGTGTTACAACAAAAGTAAAATGGAATCATAAATCATTTTAATCTCTAAGTAAACCCTGTATCAAAATTGCGTTCTGTTGGATGTGTGCCATTACAAGAATCGCTTAAGTTTGAATAAGTTTAAACTATAGAACAACTTAATAAACTGTCTCAAATGGTAAACAAAAAATATTAGTAACTCATATTCATAAATAACGATAAAAGGTCATTTACACTTACACTATATTATATTTGGTTCAACGAAATATTTTATAAAGATAATTATTATTCATATTCATACWTCTATATTATAAATGCATGTATCGAGCTATCATAGTTATTACTAGAAGCTATAAAAAAATATGCATGTATTATGTATACCTCCTATTATTAACTACAAGCAAATTAATAATTATATTTATTCTGCTAATACGATTTTATTTAAATATAATGAAAAATGTGTATGATTTTCAATTTGATAAATTTTAATACATAAATAAACTCCATTTATTTCTGACACTCTATAAATTAGATAGGTATATCTTCATAAAATTTAATTTTACACATATATATATGACGTAATAATGAAGTTGTCTATATATATATATATATAGACAACTTCAACAACAATATATAATAATATAATAAAATATGTTCATTGATAATTTAATTTTCTACTAAGCACAAAACTATATCACGATAGAAATGGGAACATAAAGGAAAGCCTGCAGTAAGCACAATGAACTTAAATTTAAACATTTAACATATTTTTGCATACTATGTGACTAGTAAAGTTCAAAAAGTGCTTTAAAGTTTTTATATACTTTTTGAAAGTTCTTATATACCATAATTGTATAGAATTTATTATAGATCGGTACATAAATGTTAAAACAGTAGGTACTAAATTGAGTACATTATTCTTGAAGTTAATGGTATATATTCTATGATGATATACAGGTTTTTAACATTAAACGAAAATACAATTTAAAAAAAAAAAACCAAAATGTTAAGTACTTGGCAAAGGCACAAGAGTAGCTGATAAATCTTGTTGAATGTTTTGGTGACTTTTTTTTCATTTTGTAAATTTTTATTTTTTATTTTATAAGTATAAAATAATTACTCGATATAATTATAGCAGGGGTGGCTTGCGGCTCTCGTCATAGTTGTATGTTTCTCGTGTTCTATTTAAAAAAAACCAATATTTTCTTATGAACGATAAAATACGATAAAATTATAAAAATTTAAAATGTATTTATAAACATTTTGACTCTTATTATATAATTTTATTTATCCGTGTGGCTCATGGACGTATTCGTGTTGGCCACCCCTCAACTCCTGAACTATAGATTATCTTATAAGCTATACTAACATAATCATAATCATAGTTTTTGCTAATTGATTTTTACTTAAAAAATTACAATAATCTATATATATAAAACCGAAATCAAGCAAAAGAGGAAATCTTTGTTACGGTTTGGCTTCGAAACTACTTATTGGATCGTCTTGCAWTTTTTTTTAAATTAAAGAGGACATCACAGAGAAGGTTTTGGGCATGAACAATTTKAGAAAGTCACCGGGTTAGAGGAATACTACGAGGTGATGATGAAATGACAGTTTCGCCATCTGTCCAGCAAAAAATGAGCAAGGATTAATCGATTATATTAATTCACCGTTAGTGGAATTAAGTAAAAATGGAAACTTGGTATAATGGTATAACTTTAATACTTTAGAGTTAAATCATAAACTTACGTACAAACAACACCTGCAAGTCCGCGATCTACCGCAGGTAGATTGCCTACCAGATAATATTATACTTCTGCAAATCAGAATTTTTATTCCAGGTAACGGAAAAGTTAAGATAAGTTTTGAAATCCATACACCGATTATTAAATAACGAATTGAACAAAGTTTGAATCATATAAATTTAGTACATTTAACGGGCAACGAAGTAATRATATAAAAGTAAGAACATAATATGTATAAACTTTTATTCTCAATAATCCAAACAGTACCTAATAAGTAATAACCAACTAATTTAAATAAAGGTCCTTAACTAAATTGCTACAACGTGATACAATTTTTGAATTGCGTCTTAGTACGATTCTTATCTGGTTTTACATTATATGCGCTTGATCTCACTGCGGGAAATATTGGTTCCAGAAAGTATTTAATTGTAGCCAACGTATAATATATAGTAAGTTGTACTTCAATAAACCAGAAAAATTAAAAACTAAATATTTGTTAATTTAAAATAATAATACCTATATCGTGTTCCAACAATGGCATAAACTTTAAAATTGTTTTCATTCAATTAAATATACCTAATATGCATTTTAATAAGGAAATACATTTATAAATTATCACTTTATCCTTATTAGAAATAATACATGTGAAATGTTTAATATTAATCTTAAAAGTTCGAACAAAGAAAATACTATGTTTTTAGAAGCTTTCTAACATTCAGCTTCTTTACATTCCTGCTCTCGACCACAAACAAAAATGGGTAGAACACTAGGACTTTTAGTTACTTCGTAATGTGTTATTTTAAGAATAATGAATAGGTAGCTATAGTTACAGCGAATTTAATTCGTATCATAAGTATATATTATATACCCGTAAACGCACTAGGTAGGTAAATAGATAAATATATTTGCATTGGATAATAGTTATTTGTATTTTCATAAAAAGATAAAACACTTAAATGGTTTCGAAGAAGTATTGAAAACATAAGGTCTAAAATAAAGCAATAAAACTGAATTAAATTTATTGTAATTTTATGCGGTTTGACTATTTATTGGTACACGAGTATGTTAAACTGACCCTGCAAGTGCTGTTTTATTTACATTTTTATATTGAGTTTGTGTAAGAAAATATTATCTGGAATTCACCATAACATATAATAGCACACGTTTTTTATTACCCCAATTTTCAATAATATAGATATAGGAGTAAACATAGTAGTGCTGCAAGGTCACTGTACAGTCGTGTTTATGAAATATTCATTTTTATTTATAMATTTTTAGGAAAAACKACATGTACTTAATATATTTGACTAGTCTACATATATATATAAATGGTTTCTCGACCATATTGTGTGACAGGTGTGGGTATGTCGAAGAGTAACGAACTCGCCACCCAATTTTGAACCCTATAAGCTTCAGATTTAAAATGTCACAATATACTGATTTTCAATAATTTTCAATAAAAACATAATCTTGAAAACATTGGTAGGTATAGTAGGCATTATGACAATTTTCTGCAATTCCTTATCAATTTTTTTTCTCAATAACTCAGATATGAGTTGCAAAAAAAATATAATTACCAAAATAATCAAAAAAAATTTTGAAGACCACGTGACTGTATTATCTAATATAAAATATACATATTCATTTTAATGTTTTAATTTTATTTTTCCCCCAAGACGTTTAAAGCGCAAGTGGTGTCGTAATTTGTTATAAAAAATAAATAAATAAATAAATATTATTAAAAATAATTATTAAGTAACCATAGAAAGTGTCTTCAATGGGTGGCTCCTTTTATCAAATTATTTTCCTGTGAATGTATTCTTGACACATAATCTTATTGTATTAATGATACAGATTGTATATTTATTACTTGTAAAAATAAAAAATAAATATTTTATTTTATTTTCAGTACATGGGAGCGTCTATGGTATTAGCACCGGCCACTGTCACATATGCCACTGTTAACCAACAAGACATGTTCAACATCTGAAACGATCTTGAAAACTTTAAATAATTCAATTGAAAAGGCGGAAAAACGCTGGAATATTCACATTGAGATATCAATCATATAAGTATATTGTTGTGTAGTTCAACCTTTTTTAAAATTATTTTGTATCTTCTATTAGATCTGAAATGTATGATTGGCCACCTAGTAAATATATATTGTACTAAATATGATATTTACATACCATATTCAGGTGTATATACAGGAGGGGTAGAGGGGGTTGGGACCCCCTCCCCCGAAATTGTATTCTGTTTCCRTGGCTGACCACATTGATATTTGCATTCTACCTTTTAAAACAAATTTTCCCTGGACAGCGATCTGTCTCGTGAAAGGATCAACACAACCCCTCGAACGGGAAAAAATATAACAATAAGTTTCCATTTATATTCAATTGTGTCTATAATATTTATCTTCCTATTATTTTAATTTAACATTATTATACACTAGTTAGGTAATTGAATAAAATAAAAAATGCTCATTTTGATGTCATCCATCATGTTATTCATTATTATTATTGAAATTTTGTTATTATTTCTTAAGCCAACAATTAGAATAGACTGATACTATATATATATATACTATATATAAACTATAGGTACTTAACGACTTACCCGAAAAATTTACGTTTACCTTTTTGAGCATATCATTCACCTGTAGGCTGTAAGGATGTACATGGTAAACAGTAATTTACCAGCTATGACCATGACATTAATTTTCCCTCTCGTTTTATTTTCTTCCGACAAAACTTACTTCAAAATATATTTTAATATGATTATATTTATGTAAATAGTTWAAAAAWAWATATATATATATATATATTGTACATACATACCAATTCAAAATTCATGGTTACGTGGATTTATCCATGTATTTTAATGCTGTTAAATCTTTTAATATCTGCAAAAAATAAAAGAGTTTACAAAAATATTTTAATACCTTACAATTATAAAAATTAAATTCATAAGATCTCATCCGTCTCTAAAATTATAATATAAATATAAAACTAGAAAATATTTTAACAATAAAATTGTGATATAAATATCTTCTCATTAGTATTTAAGAACTCTTCATCGTTTATTGCTTTCTCAAAACGTAGGAATATTTATTAATTTAATAATATATGTAATATGATAATATATATATTTATATTAGATAGTTACWAACTTAGATTTTTCAGATAGGTATATAAAAAGTTATATAATTATAGTTTTTAATCATTCTTATAATTTATATACAAAATACTATACCTATTTAAAATGATTTAAAATATTAAACTACATGGATTAAACATTCATAATTCATATAAGACGTGATGTATGTGTGTGTGTATACGAACTCGTTAGAGAATACACTGAAACTTTTCTCTTCTTAGGTATTTTTCTAGCCAAGATAAATATTATTATACAAATCTATAAGTAGTAACTGAAGTACTTCTAAATAGCAAATGTATTTCAGTGTAGGTAAATGGATTGGATTAGGCTAAGACCGATTTTACTAGCATAAATGTTAAAAAATACAAAACCATATAAAATAATATATAGGTACTAGAAGTATTTCAAGTAATAATTGCTTACATAGAATATACCAGTAGGCTGTATAGAGACGGATTTCAATATTAAATTAAGACCCACCTGCAGTATGTTATAATAAATCATATTCAAAATGCCTTATTAGACCCTTATTCTACCGATTTCATAAAGGAAAATTAAAAAATACTAAGATCGATACAATTTTAATTTTAATCTTAAAGTAAATATACAGTCGACTCTCGATAATTCAAAATTTCAAACCTTCAATAATTCGAAACCTTTGGTAATTCGAAGTAAATGCTCGGTCCCTTGAAAATCACGTGGTAATTCGAATAAAAGCAATACACTTAACTATTTAAGTACACTCGGTAATTCGAAATTAAATTTTGAAAAAACTGAACACTAACACGTGACAATTCGAAATATCATCCGTTCAATATAGATCTAATATATTTGTATCACCTGATTTTCTGAAATAATTAATAATTATGTACCTACACAACTAAAAAAAAACTTAAAAAAAATTTTTTTTCTTAACTCTTAGTAATTAAATTTTTTTTTTGTTCTCTCGTTACTTTGAACTACTAGACAATTCGAACTCTCGGTTATTTGAAGTTTTTCAACAGTCCCATCAACTTCAAATTATCAAGGTCGACTGTATTTAAAAACGTATAAATGTTGGATAAATTGTTGGTATTAATTGTAAACTTTTGTATTAAAGACGAAATTATACTCTATCATCTTTAGAAAATAAAATATTACTTTTTCAATGYGATTTTTATTGTTTACAGAGATATATTTTATTTTCAACCCTATAATATCTGTGTTTTATTTATTTTTAATCAAATCGTTCAGGCGACTGTTTTATTACTACATAGAATTGTTTAATGACTTAGCAATAACCGTGTAAGAATGAAATACGTAGAATRATTCTTAAAATCTATTGTATTATATATTTTAGTAATTACCTCCCTAAAAAATATTATAAAATAACTAGCTAATCGAAGAGCAGCATAATATTAAAATCATTGAATATTTCTTATGGAATCCATTATAATTTTGCTTTAAAAACTTTAATTTATAATTAAATTATTATAGATACCTGTCGTTATAATTTGTTATTTTTTTTTCATCCAAAGCAAACATAACTTATAAATTAATGTATTTAAATATATTCTAATACAATAAGATTATAGGATTTTTAACAATTTCAAAATTTTTACGACTACAGATAGTTATTATATACTAGTTTATAATAAATATATTATTTATATTATATAAACAAATGAATCTAATTTTAAAATATCAACAACTGTTATGGATGTTTTATGTGAGTTATATTATTATTATTTTTTAACAAATGTTTATAGAASAATTCATTATTTATCTTAAAATCTAGTCATATTTTTACCAATAAATTACCATATTGATATTTGTTACCCTATTTTTAATTTTTAAGTAACTGCATATGTACACCACACTAGTATTATGAACTACATATAAGTATAAATAAATATGTATAAATAAACGTAATATCTGTATTATATATGCATAACTACCTATATATGTTCATTAAATTATAATTTATAATTATATTAATGTTGATCGTAAGTATATTAATAAATGATCTCTTTTTCTTTGTATGTGTATACTATTCATTTACCCATCAAGTACACCATTATCAATGTGTGATCAAATACCAAAAAAAAAATTTATTATAAGGTCTCTCATAACTTGTTAAAATTTTATATCAAAAATATATACGATATGCGACACAATTTTTTTTTTGATTAGTTTGAGCTTTTAAGGTTAAATTTTTACACAACCACAAAATTGTAATACCTTAAATATAGAAATATTTAAATGTATTACAAAATACAAATATCTTTTAAGGCTGTTCTGTGTTCTTACAACAATCTTAACTCTAAAGATAGCTATCGAATATGGCCAATATAGGACATACAAGAAAGCTTGCGTACGCATACGGCTACGGAAAATCGCCTAATGAAACTGATCTCTATTGATATTTAATTCCTTGAATCTCGGTTTTCTAACTTTCTTTAAGAAATCATATTTTATTTTTTATTGTTTTTTTCTATATGAAATCTTTGTTGTATAATACCTGTAAATGAAAAGATATAATATCACAAATATTGATACTGACAAAATATTCTGTTATTTCATTGTAAAACGCTTCACGGTCCTAGCAGTATAATCATTATACAAATGATTTGAACAATGAAAAGTTGTTGATAGTTGAATTTGAGTATTACTATAGTAGGTAATCAGCAATCACCGGTGTAAATTGGACCTGTGTGGATAATCCACCTACGTAAGCGTGAATATATGAACTCAGCGACCCATATAAAAAAAGAACATTCGATCTGGTAAGAAATGTATCAAGACCGGCGATGTAGATAAATCCAATAAAATAAAATTATTACGAAAAATAAATAGTATGTATCACGCGTGGCCAGGTAAATAGGTACTGCAGGTCGTCGACGATGTCAGATCACTATATGTATAGCCGTGGAAGGACTTCGTAAACTGCGATAGTGGATGGGCTATACCTAGTTTACATAAATTTTAAAACATCCCATTAAAACTTCGGAATTTGTTTGCGTACTAAATATTATAGAATCAACCACTCGTTTGTGCAATTACATACTTAGCGTTCATCCGTATAATATTATAGAAAATTTTCCTACGGCCTGAAATTATTCACTCAGCTGTATACCATTCAAATTTATAAAAACTACTTGCATGTGCCAGTAGTATGCATTTTTATTTTTTTCAAAGATAAACATACTTTGATGTGCACAATTATATGGGAAACACTCCTAAATGTATTTACTTGCATTCTCAATTGGCAACTATAAGTATAATATGGTATTAAGTAAATCCACATCTACTTTAAAAAATATGYTTTTAACTCAATTTTGAAAGTTTTTCTTCAATATAAAATCTTATGTTGTATATTGCATATAGCACAATCTTGGTTTATTGGAATAAAAATAAGTGAGTAGTTACTATTATTACGGAAGTATATGTATAAATATGAAATATCCAAGGTAGCTAAATGGTTTAAATATTTCTTCAGTTTGGTAAATATTTACCATCAGAAGAATTAAAGATATCATATTTTGCAAATTTACATGCTTCAACTCCTCCCCTCCCACACTGGTTACGCTAACATTTCAAATAAAAGTATAGATTACTACATTAAAAAAATCAAATTAATGAATATGATTTTCAGTAAAGAATTTTTGTCCAATTTTATATTATAATCAATTATCACAACGATTGTTACATGCTTTAATGAAAAGGGATGCAATCGAGGTCGTCTATAATTTCACTGCTTTTATCATTTTTGTTTTTGTTTTATTTAATTTAAATGTACTAGACATATTTAAACAGGTAATATTAGTAAGTACAAAATTCGATATAAATCACAAGCTAATTTACTCCGCACTAATAAAAATAAAAATTGTTGGTATTAGAAAAAAAAAATGTAAAGAATAATAAAATAAAATAATTCAATGGCAACATTTTTGGGATACCGTCCCCCCCTCCCCCAATAAACTCAAGATAACAAAAAGGGATACAAAGAAATGGAGCTCACCTTATCACCTTAACAGACGACAAGAAGTCGTAATCACTAGATGTAAAATCGGGCACACATTCTATACTCATTCCTTCCTCATCAACAAAAGTCCCCCACCCACCTGTGATGAATACCACGCTCACTCACTGTCCAACACATCATATTACATTGCACAAAATACCRSTACATAAGAAACCACCTGGGAATACCACCGAATATTGAAGAAGCGCTTAATGAAAAAAATATCAATAAAATTATCCTATTTCTAACCAATACTAACATTATAAATACATTTTAA